TTTTTTTTTTTTTTTATACAATTCCCCATTTCAATGGAGGATGTCAATGATAGTTTTGAATGTGATATATTTTGGGGGAAAAAAAAAGAAAAGATTGAATTTTTATTTATTTTTTTATTGCGAGATTTGTTTGTTTGAATTGTGTGTTTTAAAATGGTAGTATTTGATTTTCGGGGATCATTATCCCTAATTTTTTTTCTAAATTTGTATTTTTCAATTTAATTGTTGAAGCATAAATTGAAAAAAATTATTATGTATTAAGGCATGGGGTTTGCTGAGAATGGGTAATCCAAATTATGTTACTAAATTATTGTCATATTTTCTTATTTGTGTTTAATTGTTTCCTTTGTTCATTCGGATTGCTAATTCATACGAGCATTGATCGTTCGTGTCAGAATGTTTTTTTCTTGAAAGGTATTTGAAGGTGAATTTCTCAGATGGGGCTGCTTAATGAGAGTCTGGAAAAATTCAAGCAACAGCAAGAGAAATGCCAGAAAACACTTACTGGAATTGCAGCTAAAGCATCATCATCTAAAGCCAGCTCTTCAAGGTCCGTGCCCTCAGGCACATCGAATGTGCCAAATGCAAAGTCTCCATCACCCCCGGTTAAATTCTCGAATGATACGGAACGGCTTCAACATATAAATAGCATAAGAAAAGCCCCTGTGGGAGCTCAAATCAAACGTGTCATTGATCTGCTATTTGAGGTATCTATAAGAATTGTGTTTTATTTACTTCTTGTAATTCGTTTTGGGATGTGAGTTTGTTTTGTTTTCCATTTTTGGTTCTTTTTCTCATGTTTCCTTTTCAACCGTGCTCCTTCTATCTCGACCATGAGCAGGATCCTAGGTGTGATATGTGTTTCTTATCGTTCTTCGATGTATTGGAGTAAATGTGCTGTCATTCATTTTTGGTAATGAGCTATAAAACTTCCCGACCTCAATTTAGAAATATAGTAATGATATATATCGCTGGGAGAATTCTGGGATCATTTTACATAATCGTGGATGCTTAGTAGATGGTCATTTTCGTTTGGCAGCTTAACTGCAAATATCTTTTTATTTTACTTTTCTTTTTCCGTTTGCCTCTCCACTCCATTTTTTGTAGACCATAGTCATTGGTTTCATCAATCTCTGTGACATGAAGCTCCTGTTGCTAGCTCAAACACATGCTTGCATGAAAGGGCAAACACAAACACACTGAATTCAAATCATGATGTTTCAAGTCAACATGGAGCTGCATGACATACTTTTTAAATCAGCTACGATGATTGTTTTTCCACTTTTTCTTTACTTAATTTATCTTATTAAAAGTTGTGGAATTGTTACTGCAATTATGTGTGCTGGCAGTGGATAATCACTGAAGATGGTTCAACTTTGTAAAATCTCTTATCATTTCCAGACAAGGCAAGCATTCACCCCTGAGCAAATAAATGAAGCTTGCTATGTCGATGCAAATGCAAACAAGTCTGTCTTTGACAGTTTGAGGAACAATCCAAAAGTGAGTTATGATGGGAAACGGTTTTCGTACAAGGTAATGTTTCTATTTATGCGAGATCACCAAAATAATTGGCAACCACATAATTAATATATAATGGTGAAATTCACACCTTTTGCTTCATCCTGCACATTCTCCTATTATGTTTTAATTGTTTCTATACTATGTTTGCAGTCTAAACATGCTTTAAAAGATAAGAGCCAACTTCTAGTGTTAGTCCGGAAGTTTCCTGAGGGTATTGCTGTTATTGATCTGAAAGACTCGTATCCCACAGTCATGGAGGACTTACAGGTAACTTAACTACAACGAATATACCTAGAGGAATCTGTGGATGCTGGTTAGCATTGTGAAGACCCAATATACCGAATGCCGGTTCACTCGAGTTTATATCTTGGGTTATTCCTATTGATAATTGGGCGATATGTCCAAGTCTTCCTTTGTTTTCTTTCTTTCCTTTTTTTCTTCCCCCTTTTCTTTAATTCTTATGGTTGGTAGTGGAGTGGAGGGAAGGGTGTAATAAGGACCAAATAAGCAACACATAGAGATTTTGAGCCCTGGAGGATGCGGTGCCCTATCAAAGAGGAATTAATAAGTCATTAGATATATGCTTGTTCTTAGAATTACTTGGGAGTGGAGTGGAAGGAGGAGATAGTAAATAAGGACCAAATAAATCAAAACATTCACAGTTCCAAAGGATGGTTATGAGTTCTATTTTGTTCTCTTATCCTCAACCTATTAAAAGATGGTTAAACAAACAACAATAATTATATATTTTCTGATCGGTGCATGTTAGACGGTTTTCTCAAAACCATCTTTAAAAATTGAACAAGAATTAATAAAATAAAATGCCAAGAAACCCTTTAATGAACCCTGAAAAACTTAGTTTAAAACCGACTAAGCAAACTAATAAATAAGAAACTGAGACTAAGACTTCCTACAATTTTTCATTTATTTCTTTTAGGCTTTGAAAGCTTCAGGTCAAATTTGGCTATTATCAAACTTCGATTCACAAGAGGACATAGCGTACCCAAATGATCCAAGGGCGGTTATAAAAGTTGATGATGACTTGAAACAATTATTTAGGGGGATCGAACTCCCTCGCGATATGCTTGACATTGAGAAGGATCTTCAGAAGAATGGGATGAAACCTGCGACAAACACGGCTAAGAGGAGGGCCATGGCGCAGGCTCATGGCATTCCCCCGAAGCCTAAGACAAAGAAGAAGAAAAATGAAATCAGCAAGAGGACAAAGCTTACTAATGCTCACCTTCCGGAACTCTTTCAGCACCTCAAACCCAGTTCATCTTGAATTTCCAATCAGTATCTTGAATATCCTCATGACTGAATCTGTGCTGTTGGTATGAATTCAGTCTCATGCTATATCATCCGTTTTGTAATATTATTATTTATTTATTTTGGTTTCTAATAATGATGTTCTGGTTGAAACTGGTATTTGAAATGCTTATTGGCATTTATTGTGCAAGTGCTTGGTTTATGATAAAGGAATAGGCTGTTGCATTTTCACAACTTCCTAATGAAATGATGAAATTGACAAATGTTTCAGCAAGTATTTCATTTTTATATTACCATTAGCAGGTATATCTAAGTTCAGCCTTACATGTTCATTTGTTTCATTAATATTGCCTCTTGTTTCTAGACATTTTGGTTGGAGGGCCAGGATAATAGTTAAGGAGTCTGTAAGGTAGGATCCTTAACTGACGCTTACCTTACAGCGCAAAACAGAACCTGGGGTCAAACTTTAGTAACTTATGACCTTCGTATTGTAGGACATTGTTATGGTAGAAATGGCTGGCTGTCTTTGATAGTTGTTTGATTTGAAAACTGTGTTTTGTCCAACTCCATTCTTCAGTGAGCTTATTAAGTATTTTAATTTTGTAGGTTAAAGATGTTGAAGTTGTACACGAGCAAATGATTTAGTATAATCCAGATTTACGGGATACACTGTTGTTCTTTCATTCCAAGTCTGGCCACGTATACTAGCTGAAAATACACGTGCAGACATTTGTGAATGATTTGTGCTTGGATAAGTTGTTTCTCTACATCTCGATGTTGAAGCAGCAAATGCGGTGTCGAGGCCTCGTCTATGTGATCCAAAACAGCAGCTTCTTATGGGTTCAACTTCCCCTTCAGTGGAGGAAATGTTATACCTTTTTTTTAGCAATTCGTGCAACGGAAGATTTATTTTTACATACATGTATTGGGGCACATCATGTGTGATGCCTCGGTATTTTTACAGTTATAACTCGGGATGTTACATATAACATTTTTT